ATAGATACTTTAGCCTCCTGTTAACCCATTTGGGATCGTTATTATTAGACCTAATTTCTCTCTGGGGAATGTATATACTCTGGGCACTGTGTACATTATTAAGAAAACAATCATAAAAGCAGATCCCTTCATATTCATAAGTATGATTATCGTCAATAAAATCATTAGCTAGATAACCCCAATCAAGATTAGACAGATGTTCCCTAAGTCCATTATAATCGGCAGAACGAAAATCAGGGATTTTTACTGTATTATCATTATTCTTGCATTCCCAATTAATGCTGAAAGTGATGGATTTGTGATCACTTGCGCCAAGCTCTTCAATGATCTCCAGATTATTAACGAGTGTTTCCTTATTTGACAAGACTAGGTCTAGCAAATTATTACCCCTGGTAGGCTCAGTTACGCTCTGTTTCAGAAAACAGTCCTGAACTGTTTCCATAAAGTCACTGGACTCTAGATTACCTGTCAAAGAATTCCGGTCAATTTGACTAAAGTTAAAGTCCCCTACTATGACTATGTTACTGTGTCCAGAAGCCCTTACAATTTCGTCCCAAAGAAGTCTCCCTCTATCGTGATCCAAGCCTGGAGGTCGGTATATTACACCTAGAATTAGTTTTTCTTGACCCTCCACGAACTCTACCCAAACAGACTCTGTTACTGCTCCATCTATTTTTATACCTGTTTTTATGCAACAATTAATATTTTCTCGAACATACAATGCAACTCCTCCCCCATTCCCATTACATCTATCCACATTGAACAACTTAAATCCCTGAATATTACACTCAGCAGTCATATCCCGACTTTTTAAATCATACCACGTTTCAGTTAATGCAATGATATCAAAGTTCCCAGCACATGCTACCAAACGTAGTTCATTAATTTTATTTCTTGCACTTCGACTGTTAGCATAAAATACCATCATATGTTTTTTCTTCTGCACATTTTTCCTATTCATCTTTGTTTTTTACACAATTTCTGAAATTATCATTACCCAGAGTTACTCCATGACAGTTACTATTAAGATTCTTAATATCAGAGCATAAGTCAATATATCCATACTCATTATTTATCATTTCTAAACCCATACCTCTAACTAATCCTAGTTTAAAGTCCTAACAACCCCCTCAACTGAGTTAGCAAGAAAACCCACACCTGCCCTGGATAAGTGAACCCCATCCCTGACATACATGTCATTTCGGCCACAGAAGTTGTCCCAGTTGTCAATGAATGGTACTGCATTATCCTTACAGTGTTTATCCAGCCAACAATTAATACCAATTGCTCTGGACAACCATTCATTACCAACACCTTTTCTTGGCAAAATGCCACATATAACAGGGCGCCCCCCCCCTTCTTCCTAATTATGTCTATAGCTGTCCTGAACTTTTTAACTAAATCCTCACTTCTATGCTTGCCTACATCATTGCCTCCAGCACTGAGGCAAATAATAGGATTGATCTCATTACCGTTCATGATGTTGTCAAGCCGGCTAATAATGTCCTCCATCCCAGCCCCAGGAAAGCATACCCTCTGTCTCCTACTTCTGTCCTTCAAGCAGAATGCCCTATCCATGCATCTAACCTGGCTATCCCCAACAACAACAATATTCTTACCTTCCTTGTTGTCGTTCATCGTGACGATCCCAGTAGTCTACTCACATTCGTCGGGTAGCACCGAGAATGTGTTGGAGGTTTCCACGGGAGTTTCCACAGCAGTCTCTTTCTTCTTCATCGTTTCTGGCTTCCCATTCGTCTTCTTGATCGTCAACTTCGTCGTCCCCTGCTGTCCAGCCACTGACCACGATCCCTTCTTGACCTGAGGACTCGAAACAGGAGGACTACTACGAATCCTCTTGTTTGCCTCGGTCAATCGCCGTATCTCCATCTTTGCTGCCCTCAATTCTTCCTTAAGTTGCTGGTAAAGTTGCTCGATGGAGGGCATCTTGGTTCAGTCCACGGGAGCACACAAGACACTTCTTCACAGAGTTAAGTACAGGTCACCACTGAGTTAAGTACAGGTGACCACTTCTTCATGAAGATAGGGCCAGACACTTACTTCCTCGTGAAGATAGGGCCAGACACTTACTTCCTCGTGAAGATAAAGCCAGACACTTACTTCCTCGTGAAGATAGGGACAGACACTTACTTCTTCATGAAGATAGGGCCAGACACTTACTTCTTCGTGAAGATAGGGACAGACACTTACTTCTTCATGAAGATAGGGCCAGACACTTACTTTTTTTCCAAGAAAAGGGACAGACACTTATTTCCTTCATGAAGATAGACCAGACACTTACTTTTTCGTGAAGAAAGGGACAGACACTTACTTCTTGGGTGAAGATAGGGCCAGACATTTATTTCTTCGTGAAAAAAGGGAAAAACAGACACTTACTTCTTCATGAAATAGGGACAGACACTTATTTCTTCATAAGGGTGGGCCCCGACACTTACTTTTTCATAAAAGATAGGACAGACACTTATTTCCCTTCTTTAAGTAACCCAAACCCTTTAAACTTCTTCGGAAGATAGGGACAACATTTAAACTTCTTCTGAAGATGGGGACAGACCCTTACTTCTTCGTGAAGAAAAGCCAACATTTTATTTCCCTTCGTGAAGATGGGGGCACACACTTACTTCTTCATAAGATAGAGCCAACACTACTTTTTCCCGTGAAGATAGAGCCAACACTTACTTCTTCAGAAATAGACCAGACACTTACTTCTTCATGAAAAATAAAACCCAGACACTTACTTTTTTCATAAGATGGGCCAGACACTTACTTCTTCATGAAGATAGAGCCAGACACTTACTTCTTCATGGGGATAGAGCCAGACCCCTTACTTTTTCGTGAAAAATGGGGACAGACCCTTACTTCTTCGTGAAGATAGGACAGACACTTACTTTTTCCCGTGGAAAAAAGCCAGACATTTATTTCTTCGGAAGTTTAGGGACAACACTTACTTCTTCGTGAAAAATGGGGACAACACTTACTTTTTCGTGAAGATAAGCCAGACACTTACTTTTTCGTGAAGATAGGGACAAAACCATTACTTCTTCGTGAAGATAGGACAGACACTTCTTCTTCATGAAGATAGAGCCGACACTTACTTCTTCTTTAAGAAAGGGCCAACACTTATTTCTTAAATGAAGATGAGCCAGACACTTACTTTTTAAAAGAAGATAAGCCAACCCTTACTTTTTCCCATGAAAAAAGAGCAACACTTACTTCCTGTGAAAAAGGGGGCCCAGCCCATTTAATTTCCCGTGAAGATAGGGCCAGACACTTACTTTTTTCGTGAAGAAAGGGACAGACATTTAAACTTCCTAAAGAAGATGGGGCCCCCCAGACATTTAAATTTTCTTCATGAGATGGACCAGACACTTACTTCTTCGAAGATTAGAGCCAGCATTTAAATTCTTCATGAAAAAAGAGCCAGCAACTTCCCTTCCCTTCAAAAGTTTAAGCCAACACTTAAACTTCTTCATGAAGAAAGAGCCAGAAAACTTACTTCTCATGAAGAATAGGGCCAACACTTACTTCTTCATAAGATAGGCCAGACATTTAAATTTTCTTCATGAAGATAGAGCCGACACTTACTTTTCATGAAGATGGGCCAAACACTTACCCCTTCGTGAAGATGGGACAGACACTTTCTTCTCATGAAATAAGCCAGACACTTGCTTCTTCATAAAGGGATAGAGCCAGACATTTAAACTTCTACATGAAGAAAAGAGCCAGACATTTACTTTTTTCCATGAAGAAAGAGCCAGACACTTACTTCTTCATAAAGATAAGCCAGACACTTACTTCTTCATGAAGATGGGGCCAGACATTTTAACTTCTTCATGAAGATGGGGCCAGACATTTTACTTTTTCCCGAAGTTTAAGGGGGCCCAGACACTTATTTCTTCGTGAAGATGGGGACAAAACACTTACTTCTTCATGAAGATAGACCCCAGACACTTACTTCTTCATAAGATGGGGCCCCAACATTTACTTCTTCATGAAGAAAAGACCCAAACCCTTTTTACTTCTTCGTAAGATAGGGACAGACACTTCCTTCTTCATAAAGAAAGAGCCAACACTTACCTTCTTATGAAGTTTAGAGCCAGACACTTACTTCATCAGAAGATAAAGCCAGACACTTATTTCCCTTCCATGAAGATAACCCAGAAAATTTAAACTTCTTCGTGAAGAAAGAGCCAGCACTTACTTCTTAAAGAAGATGGGGCCCAACACTTACTTTTTCCCTGAAATAGAAGCCAGACACTTACTACTTCATGAAAAAAGAGCCAAAACACTTACTTTTTCCTAAAGGGATAGGGGCCAACATTTACTTCTTAAATGAAGAAAAAGAGCCAAAACATTTTACTTTTTCGTGAAGAAAAAAAACCAACACTTACTTTTTCCCATAAGAAGGGCCAGACACTTAATTTTCTTCGTAAGATGGGAGCCAACACTTACTTCTTCTTTGAAGATAGACCCAGACATTTACTTCTTCGGAAGAAAGGGGCCAGACACTTACTTCTTCATAAAGAAAGGGACAGACATTTAAACTTTTAAATGAAGATAGAGCCAGACACTTTTACTTCTTCGTAAAATAGAGCCAGCCCACTTACTTCTTCATGAAAAAGGGGCCCAGACACTTACTTCTTCAGAAAAATAGAGGCCAAAGACCCATATTCTTCGTGAAGATAGGGACAACACTTACCCCTTAAAGAAGAAAAGGGGGGCCCCCCCATTTACTTCTTCATGAAATAGGCCAGACCTTACTTCTTAAAGAAATAGACCAGACACTTACTTCCTCGTGAAGAAAAGGGCCCCAGACACTTATTCCCTCGTGAAAAATGGGGCCCAGCCCTTACTTCTTCGTAAAAGATAGGGACAGACATTTAAACTTCCTCATAAAAAGGGGGCCCAGAAAATTAACTTCTTCATGAAAAATGGGGCCCAAAGCCCTTTAAATTTCTTCGTGAAAAAGGACAGACACTTACTTCCTCATGAAGATAGGGCCAGACACTTACTTCTTCGTGAAGATAGGGCCAGACGCCGCTGAGGACAACGGAAAATCCCATGTTCATAACAAACATGGTTGAGTAAGCGACCCAGTGAGAGATCTTTCTGGCTTTTCTGTCAGCCGGCGTTTCCAGCAGTCTGCTGGGATCATCTTTGTAGGGTGGAGGCTGGTCTCTGATGACATGATACGAGAACGGTATAAGGGAATGATCGTTGATAGGGTGTGACATGAGTACAGAGTGTGGGGCTGGTCATTGATGAGGTGAACAGAGTGTGGAGTTTGGTCACTGATGAGGGTGTACAAGGTGCGTGGATGGTCATTGATAAGTGTACTGAGTGTGGGGCTACTCACTGGTAGGGTGTACAGGGTGTAAGAACATAAGAACATAGGAACATAAGAAAGGAGGAACACTGCAGCAGGCCTGTTGGCCCATACTAGTGGTCCATCCCACTAACAAAACATTTGCCCAACCCAATTTTCTATTTGTAGATGAATGGTTCAGAGAACCGACATGTTGATAAATTAGACACATGTGCAACTCTTGGGTATCTTTATTGAGGAAACGTTTCGCCACACAGTGGCTTCAACAGTCCATACAAAGGAGAATCTTGAAGAACAGGAGGAGAATGAGGTAATCAGTCCCTCAACCTTGAGTCGATGTAAATAAATGGTATAAAATACCGACACATTGAGTCGATGTGGTCAGTCCATCAATCTTGAATAGAATACGGCATACGTGCTGAGAAGGAGCTTATAAACCTATGTCTTCTGCACCTCTCCTGCCAACGGTTTATAAGCTCCTTCTCAGCACGTATGCCGTATTCTATTCAAGATTGATGGACTGACCACATCGACTCAAGGTTGAGGGACTGATTACCTCATTCTCCTCCTGTTCTTCAAGATTCTCCTTTGTATGGACTGATGAAGCCACTGTGTGGCGAAACGTTTCCTCAATAAAGATACCCAAGAGTTGCACATGTGTCTAATTTACCAATTTTCTATGCTACCGAAGAAATAAGCTCTGATGTGCAAGTCCCACTCAAGTCCAACCCCTCCCACTCATGTACTTATCCAACCTAAATTTGAAACTACCCAAAGTCCTAGCCTCAATCACCCAATTAGGTAGACTGTTCCACTCATCAACTACCCTATTTCCAAACATAAGAACATAAGAAAGGAGGAACACGGCAGCAGGCCTGTTGGCCCATACTAGGCAGGTCCTTTACAATTCATCCCACTAACAAACATTTGACCAACCCAATTTTCAATGCCACCCAAGAAACAAGCTCCGATGTGCAAGTCCCTCTCAAATCCAACCCCTCCCACTCATGTACTTATCCAACCTAAATTTGAAACTACCCAAAGTCCTAGCCTCAATAACCCAACTAGGTAGACTGTTCCACTCATCAACTACCCTATTTCCAAACCAATACTTTCCTATGTCCTTTCTAAATCTAAACTTATCTAATTTAAATCCATTACTGCGGGTTCTCTCTTGGAGAGATATCCTCAAGACCTTGTTAATATCCCCTTTATTAATACCTATCTTCCACTTATACACTTCGATCAGGTCTCCCCTCATTCTTCGTCTAACAAGTGAATGTAACTTAAGAGTCTTCAATCTTTCTTCATAAGGGAGATTTCTAATGCTATGTATTAATTTAGTTATTCTACGCTGAATGTTTTCTAACGAATTTATGTCCATTCTGTAATATGGAGACCAGAATTGAGCTGCATAATCTAGGTGAGGCCTTACTAATGATGTATAAAGCTGCAGTATGACCTCTGGACTTCTGTTGCTTACACTTCTTGATATAAATCCCAGTAATCTATTTGCCTTATTACGTACGCTTAGGCATTGCTGTCTTGTGGAAAAAGACACTTATGTACAGTTCAGGACATTTATTAAAGGAAACGTTTCCTTTAATAAATGTCCTGAACTGTACATAAGTGTCTTTTTCCACATCTTGTCGGTATCACCATACCATTTCCTCATTGCTGTCTTGGTTTAAGGTTGCTGCTCACCATAACCCCCAAGTCCTTTTCGCAATCTGTATGGCTAAGTTCTACATCATTTAACTTATAAGTGCTAGGGTTATGGACACTCCCGAGCTTCAGAACCTTGCATTTATCTACTTTGAACGGGCATCTGCCCTTTTCTGACCAAGAATACAGTTTGTTTAAATCCTCCTGAAGTTCCCTAACATCTACGTTTGAATCAATTATCCTACCTATCTTTGTGTCATCGGCGAATTTGCTCATATCACTAGTAACACCTCATCAAGATCATTGATATATATTATAAACAACAACGGCCCAAGACTGACCCCTGTGGAAACGCCACTTTTACAAAATCCCCACTCGGATTTAACCCCATTTATAGATTACTCTCTGCTTCCTGTCTGTGAGAAAATGACTCGATCCACCAACAGACCCCTGGCAGCCCTTCAAGCTGGCACTGGACAAGCACCTAAAGTCGGTTCCTGACCACCGGGCTGTGGCTCGTACGTTGGTTTGCGTGCAGCCAGCAGCAACACCTGGTTGATCAGGCTCTGATCCACCAGGGGGCCTGGTCCAGGCCGATGTTGATGTTGCGAATGCGATTGAGAAGATCCTCGGGAATAGGCAGTCCTCCCCACCGCCTCAGGAATTCTCCCCAAAACACCTCTCTAAACTCTTGGCACTATCAGTCCAGCACATCTCAAACACTCGGTGATTTTCCCTCAATCGCATTCGCAACATCAACATCAGGAACAAGAAACTTTCCAGCCTTGACGTGACTTCCCTATTCACCAAAGTACCTACTACACAAGCCATCGATCTCTTGCGCAGGAAAATTGACGATTTACTTGATCTTCCCATTCCCCGCCAGCGATTTCATCGACCTTGTTGAACTATGTGTTGGCTTTACGTGTTTTCTCTTTCGAAAATCACCTCTTTCAGCAGACTCTTGGACTACCCATGGTTCGCTACTCAGTGCGGTCCTGGCGAACCTATACATTGGAACATCTAGAAGCCGAACGTTTCTCCACCAGTATTCCTTCGTCTGTCACCTGGCTCCGTTATGTTGACATTCTCCTCATAACTCCTAAAACGCTTCAACGTTCAAGCTACTCCAGACAAGCCAGTGGAAATATAAACACATATGCAGTATAATGTGATCCTTTATTGACAACGTTTCACCCACACAGTGGGCTTTTTCAAGTCACACACAGATCTACCTGGGGTTGACTTGAAAAAGCCCACTGTGTGGGTGAAACGTTGTCAATAAAGGATCACATTATACTGCATATGTGTTTATATTTCCACTGTGTCGGTATTTGATACCATTTTTCCAAGACAAGCTCAACCAGGTCGAGCCTTCAATCCAGTTCACACTTGAAGAAGAAGTCGACAACACTCTTTCCTTTCCTTGATGTTCTTCATGCAAAGCTGACCACGAACTTCGTTTTAAAGCCTATCGAAAAACCCACCAACCAAAACGACCTTCTCCACTTTACTCTCCCCCACGACACCAAAAAACCAAACGTGGGTAATTAAAAGGCTTCTTCCTGCGTGCACTCAGAATCTGCACAATGAGTTTCTGAAGAAGAATGCCCCGATAATTGGAACAAGCATTTTCTTTAAAATCCACTATCCTCGTCACTTCATCAGAGACTGCAGACGGCGGGCATTAAACATCTTCAACACACCCAGAGAAGACACTTACCTGGATTTAACCTGGAGAGAGTTCGGGGGTCAAAAGCCCCCGCGGCCCGGTCCTGTGACCAGCCTCCTGGTGGATCAGAGCCTGATCAACCAGGGGTTGCTGCTGGCTGCACGCAAACCAACGTACGAGCCACAGCCCGGCTGATCAGGAACTGACTTTAGGTGCTTGTCCAGTGCCAGCTTGAAGACTGCCAGGGGTCTGTTGGTAATCCCCCTTATGTGTGCTGGGAGGCAGTTGAACAGTCTCGGGCCCCTGACACTTATTGTATGGTCTCTTAACGTGCTAGTGACACCCCTGCTTTTCATTGGGGGGACACTGCCGAGAAGAGATGCATAGTCCTCCCCACCAACTCCATTGCCAAACACGTTTCCAACATCTTTTCCAATACCTCATTTCAAGTATCTACCTCCACAACCACGACCATCAAGGACATTACCAGGGATAGACAGGACAAGCTTCCACCCTCTGCAGGGGTATACATAATCCCTTGTTAGTTTAGAAAGACACGTAAACAAACACTATAACATATTTATTAGTAAACGTTTGGGTCCGGGGACCTTGATCAAGGTCCCAGGACCGAAACGTTTTCTAAAAAATATGTTAAGGTTTGCTTCGTTCTTTCTAAACCAACTTGTCGGTATTTATTCCCAAAGGTTTATCCAAAAAACCCTTTAATGATGCAACAAGTTTTTACGTGGGGAACATCAAGGGACCTCCAAACATTTTTTTTCGAACCCAATACCAAGCAGGTCTGACAACACAAGGAATGCCTGTGTACAACACCGTAATTCACACAACCATTGATAAACTACATAAACTCAAGACTCATCGCCACAAAGAAAACATCAATACCGAAGAACCCGGGGAATCTCACTTATTTCTTATCCGACAACTTAAAACCAAAAATAGGGCTTCATAACATAGCGAACCACTTCCAAAAAACTTTTCATCGCTACCCAATAAAAAAACTGTAAAAGGTCTGCCAAAAAATTTCCAATCCTTTTACAAGTACCCAAAGATTTTAGATCTATAACCCCACTCGGAAACACTCAATGCGCTTCTCCCCTGCCCTCAGCATTCAAAACCCTGACTATAAATACTCGGCCCCCTTCCACCCCAGGTGGGATTTTTTCATTCTCACCAGACCCGTACTCCATGCATTTTCTAACAAGAAAAAGATCAAACCAGCGAGTGGCAAACCAATGAGTCTCCAAACTAGCACTTGCACTGTCGTTGTGGCGGCGGCAAGTCAAAGTTTTTGCGATTTTATCGCTCAAAGAGGCCTTTGTTTCGCTGACAACGAACAGAGGCGGAAAAACACTTACCCCCCACTGCTACTACCACTCTACGAGCCCAGGGTTTTCTTGTCTTACTTCCCAGCATGGGGGCCAGGAAACGTGTTCCTCAACACTGACAACCTTATCACTGTACAGGACTAAAAGAAATAAAGTCATCTATCAAAGA